ATACCGCGTGTGCTGTTCTGTGGGTGACCATGCACATCACCACCAATACAACCGCCACACCGCACAGACACGCCCACAGCACACCGCCACACACACACATACACCAATTCACACCACACACACCACACAACACACACCACGCACACCACTTCAGCCGCATCCCGATCACACACACACCACAACACACACACAACATAACATACCACCAAATCGACGAGAAAATATAAAGACGAGAGACAAGAACAACACGCGGAACGCCAAGGACGAAACACAATAACAAAAAAATAATAAAAAACATGACAGAACTGTCCTCATTCATATCGGCCTCCATGACTGTGCTGGAGATGTGAACGTATCAACATGAAAACTGCCATAGTATCGCTTCTGTGTTTTGCAATTATTATTATTATAAGTTATTGTTATTAATTAACATCAGCATCTATACTGTCCATTATTATATCATCATCATCGTCATTATTATTATCATCCATCATCATAAATTAATCATTATTATTCATAATCAATACTATTATACATATCATATAATATAGCATTATATCATTACACTATCATCATTACTATAACTCATTTATATACTAATTATTATCATTATATTATTGTCCAATCTATTATACTATATTATTCATTATCATCAGTCATCGTCATTATTATTATCATCAATCACTCACATTATATTATTATTATTATCATCTACTATTATTATCATCTACATTATATTAGCCATTCATCATTATCACTATCAAATCATTACTATAAATCATTTATTACTATACTTATCATATATATATTGTATTATACCATATCATAACATTATCATCATCCAATCATTTTTGTATAATAACATCATTATTCTATCATATTTATATCAATATTATAACTTATTAGCAATTATATTATTACCCAGGATCATATTACTACCCATTCATCATTATTATTGTTATTACTATCCTTCATCAGTATATTACGAGCCAGCCAAACATCAAAATAATTACCATCATTGTTTCATAATCATCATAAGCTCTGGCTCAACCGTACAGATCCCATTATCAACTGTTACTTTATCACCCTGGGGTTAATTCCTATTAATCCATCCATACATATACACTATCATCAATCGTGATTATAATTTATGTAATTAACAGGCTGCCTACTAATCACATATTATTCATTAATCACCAAAACGCGATAAATAGGGTAATCCAATAATAAGAAAGTTGATGATTATGAATGGTTGTGATTACTCTCTCTCCCTCTCTCCTGGTTATTTTCGTCCTGTCTGCCCTTAGTCTCTGCCCCTCTCTCTTCTCTCTCTCATTCTCTTCTCGGCTCTATGTCTCTTCGGACCCATCTCTCCTCCCTCTACTCGACTCTCTCTGCTCTCTCTCCCCTCTCGTCAGATCTCTCGATCTACCTCTCGTCTACTTTCTCTCTCTCTACTCTCTCAGTCCATCTCTCTCAGAATCCGGTCACGTCTTCTGCTATTCCCGCTCTAAAACACACCGCCTATCTCTCTCTCCTCTTCTTATAACGTCTTTCATCTTCATCCAGCTATACTACCACCCACCTCTCTTTAATATAATTAAAATCAAGTCTCACCTATCAAAAGAAAAAGGAAGATTATTCTCGCCATAGGAAGTAATTACCAAGTTGATCCGTATTAATTATAAACATAATGAGTCATAATTCTGAAACGACTTCCGGTGACGTCACAATGTAGGTCGTGGTGCGCAATTCTCGCCTCATTTGTCCGTGTCATGGCGTTTCCCCCCCCCCTTCCCCACCTCCCCCCCCCCCAGCGCCATCTATTATCCTTGATTTAAAGTTCGTGTTTCTTGATCGCTTATGGCACCTTAAAAATTCTTAAATAGGAGTTAATGGATCTTCTTCAGATATACGGTTATACTTTTATTTTTTTTTTTTTTTTTAAACACTTAACAAATACTAATCTTATATATGTGTGTACGTTTATGTATGTGTATATGCATGTGTCTATATGTATATACATAAATATATGAATATGTATATAGATATGCATATGTGTATAAATATATATATCTGTATATATATTTATATCCATATACATATACATACATGTATTATATAATAATACTATATATTACATATACATTACATACATACATACATACATATACCATATACATATATATATACATATATATACATATTATACTATATATATATATATATATATATATATATTATATATATATATATATATATATATATATACACACACACTCACCAAAATTAAATAACGAAAACCCAAAGGACTCGAACCGCCTTCCCGCAAACTCACATTCTGGTGGTGGTGGTGGTGGCTGTTGTTGTTGTTATTGTTGTTGTTGTTGTTGTTGGCGTTGGAGTGCTGGTACTGCTGGTGGTGAGAGTGCCTGACGAAGCTCCTCTCCTTCTTCATCGCCGCAGGGTCCGCTTGCTGGTGATGCTGCTGGTGCTGATGGTGGTGCTGCCCTCCGCGCCCCTCGCCGGCCTGCCAGTCGACGGAGGGAGAGAAAGGAGGCAGGGTGAGTGCCACGGCGAGGGGAGGGGGGGGAGGGTGGGGGGAGGGAGGGAAGAGGGAGGAGGGGAGAGGAGGGGAGGGGGGGGGTGGGGAAGAGAGGGGAGGGAAAGCGAAATGGGAAAAGGAGGGAAAGAGGGGGGGAAGAAGGAAGAAGGAAGGGGAGGGGTGGGGGGACTGGTGGGAGGGAGGGACGCAGGAGAGGAGGAGAAGGGAGAAGGGGAGGTGAGTCCACGGCGGGAGGGAGGGGGAGGGGTGGGGGATGGAGGAAGGGGGCACACAGGATAGAGGGGGAGCGAGAGAGATGGAAAGGTGGGCGTTTGGGAGGTGAGGGGAGGGAGGGGAGGGAAGTAGGGAACACGGTGGGGTGGAGGAGCAATAGGGATGGAAAGGTGGGGTGGGAGGGGAGGTGGGCCAAAGGGAGGGAGTGGAAGGAGTATGGGTCAGAAAGGACGGAAGAGGGGGGGGGGGAAGAGGAGGTGCAGGGTGAGTCGCACACTCTGCCGAGACCGAGAAGGGGAGCGGGAGGGACGGAAGGGGGGGGGGAGAGGGTCGGGAGAAAGAGGGGAGTAAATAGTAGGAGGTGTAAAGGGTGAGCGTAGCGGCGAGTAGGTCGAGGGGTGGTATGTATAGGAGGAGATATGTGAGGAGGGGAGCTAACGTGAAACTGATGAAAATATAGGCTATGGGAAGGAATAGGAGGGGTGGGTAAAGTATGAAAGGACAGATAGCTGGGTGATGGTGTGTGTGTGTGTGTGTGTCAGTGGTTGTTGTGGTAAAGTATGAAGTATGTAATGTTTAGTAAGGTGAGGTGGGAAGGAGGTGGAGAAAGGAGAGAAAAAGAGTGAGAGCCTCTGTACACGACCCGAGCGCTAATAAGGGAGGGAGATAGGGGTATAGAAGAAGGATGAGGCAAGCGGGAGGCAGGGGAGCGGTAAACGCGGAGAGAAGTGATAAGAATAGGGAGCGAGCGAAGAATAGGCATATATACGAAAGTATAAGATAGATGGAAGACCAAATAGAGATATTAATCATATCCCGCGCGCAATTGAGGGCAAAACGAAGGGGATAAAGAGAAGACAAAGAAGAAGGTCAATCTATTGTCTAATCGATGTATTAAAGAGACTTGTGTAATTAACATAAAAAACCATAACATTTGATGCGTTCGCATAAATGTACAAATAAGTACAAAATACTCAACAAAGGTACGCGAAATGATAACTTCACATACACCAACATACATGTGTCAGTTTTGCCCAACACTTCATTCATCAGTATTTACCATAATTATTCACTATCATAATCTTCAAAGAACAGGCTCTAATACCTGACGCTTTATACATTTTACCTATTATCCTTGTATATCCCGCCATATCACCCTTCAACTCTTCAACACGACAAAAAAAAACCAAAAAACAAAACGTTTATTTTCTAAGAATAACGCAACACATACAAACTTTCACCTAAACGCAACCCAAACAAATCTCTATCTTCCATCCAATTGCAATAATCAATAACCCAACTAAGTCCTAGATCACGAACTATCGTAGTAAAAAATACCCACTTCGATACTGCACTTATGAGTACTTACTCACCCACACCAATCACACATGACTGACGCCCATTGAAGCCGGACTGTTCTGATCGAGAACCTCACTACTTGCCGTGTCACTAATTCACTATCCCCGCCGTCACAATAAGATGGCGAATGAATGATCCAAAAAAAACATTAATGAACAAATAATAACTTACTACTCACTACTACCCTACTTATCTTCCCAACTGCTACTCACTACTCCACTCAATACTTCACTAATTCACATTGATAACAGATCAATAACTGATAATATATACTGCTACTACTACTACTACTACTACTAATACACAATACACAATAATAAAAATGATAATAACAATCAATCATGACACTAATAACAATAGCAATAATACGTACCTAACGTAACATTCACCCTCTGTCAGACAACAAGGGTCCCACTTACATCCATCTAACCCAGCTT